GAATACTTCTTTTAAATTTGCAACTGCTTACCATTTTGCTGATGATACTAACATGCTACTGGTTGACAAATCACTTAAAAAAATCAACAAACATATTAATCATGATCTTGGAAATCTTGTTCAGTGGCTTCGTTCTAATAAACTTTCTCTTAATTCTAACAAAACAGAGCTTATCATCTTTAAATCCAATCTAGCACCAATTAAAAAGCAATTAAATTTCAGACTAAGTGGACAAAAAATTTATCCTTTAGACTCTATTAAATATCTTGGGATTAAAATTGATTCTAATCTTTCTTTTCAAGGCCACCTGAATGACTTAGCAATGAAACTCAGCAGATCTAATGAATGCTAGCCAAAGTCCGCCATTATGTTAATCTAGAAACTCTGCTAAATATATATCATGCTATTTTTGGGTCCCATCTAAGATATGCATGTCAAGTATGGGGACAATCCCATAAACAAATCATTTTAAGGTTGTCCCATCTCCAAAATAAAGCCTTGAAAATAATATATTTTCAGTATAATAACTCTAAATCTAATGTACTATACCTAATCTCCAAAATATTAAAAATAAGCGACCTTGTGGTATTCCTCAACTGCCTATTTGTCTGGAATTATCATCACAAAAACCTTCCCTTATCATTCAACAATTTCTTTTCAATTACAAATTGTCACTATCCTCTTCGCTCCATCAGTAGCTTAAACTTAGTTATTCCGAAACACCAATCTGCTAAATATGGAAATAAATCCATTAAATATCAATGTATTAGCTCATGGAACAAACTACCTCCTGATCTAAAATCTCTTAATTCAATCTCTGAATTCAAAATTAAGCTTTTTAATTATCTGTTAAAAAAATACAATTAAATATTTCTACCAACTAATATTGACATTCTTTACTAGATATGTCAATTCGTAATCCTTCAGTTTTTAATTTGATATTTTTAACATTTTAAAATTCTCTACTTATCTATCTACATCTAATTTCTCTGGTTTTTTATCTGCCATTTTTAAACTTTATTATTAAACTATCTATACTAATATTATTAATTTTAGTACGAATGGGTTGGCATTCTTTATTTATCTATCTATTTATCTCTTTTCATTCAAAAATTCTCTATTTTTCAACTATTCTACTTCGTACTAAATCGTTGTTGTTGCCATCACTCTTTACTAAATTTTTTTTGCTGCTGTTATTGTCTTTATTTATGAAATTCTTCTCTTATTATAATTGTTATTATTTCGTTACTATTATTATTATTATTGTTATAATTATTATTTTTGTTGTTGTTGTTGCTATTATTATTCTTATCACAATCATTGTTGTTATTGTTACTATTGTTATTACTATTATTATTGTTATTATTGTTATTACTATTATTGTTATTATTGCTATTATTATTATTATTAATAACAGTTATTATTATTACTTTCATCATTGACTATAACGTTACGTTGTATATTGAGGTATTTACTTTATATTAGTACTTGTACTATTGTAAATTTCCTTGAAATGTTATAACTTATTTTGAAATATATTTGATTTGATTGATTTGATTTGATTTAAAAATACTTAATGATTTATATGTTATCAATAGCAAACTTCTCATGATCAGAGATAAGTTAGTAAATAAATATGTAATATCTACTAATAATTAAAAAACAATCCAATCCATCAACTAATTTTTTTTTTTTTCCAGTTTAAGAAGTAAATGTAAGATATTTTTGTATAAGTAAATTTTTGTTTACTTAGTTTTACAATAATTTTTGTGACAAATTTTAACTTGTGAAAAGTACTCAAAATTTCTAGTTGAAAAACTTATTTAAATTTTGCTAAATATTAAACTTATAGAATATTTTCAAAAACGTGATAAATATAAATAATATAAAACAGAAACAAAATAATTGATAAATAAATAAAATATAAGAGAAACTTTTATATAAGATTTGGTAATCAATTTTAATTGACTTTGGCATAAATCTTTTTATGAAATTTATATTCTTGTTCATTTTATTAATCATAAGTATTTTTTATACACATTTTTTTATTTTTTTGAAAAAAAAATTGACAATATGTTTTATACACATTTTTTTTTTTTTGAAAAAAAAAAGTGTGTATAAAAAATTGTCTTTAAATTTATATTAATTTGAAAAAACTTTCATGACTTTGAAGTTTCTATTTAATATATCATACATTGTACGATATCTGGTGGTAAATATTTTGTTGTTCTTATCACTCACCACACGATAACTTTCAAAATCAATATATATTTCACTTTAATAATACTGTATATATATACAATTGTGTGGGACATTTACAAACAGTTATAAACTGATGACGTGTAAAGACCTATAATGGTATAAATAATAACATAATAAAATAATAATAATAATAATAAATAACAATAATAAATATTATTAATAATAATAGAAATAAATATTAATAATAATAATATTAATAATAATATTAATGCAGTAATATAAAACACTATAATCAATATATATTTTACTACTATAATCAAAATAAAACATTTATAGCAAATAGTGATTATCCTTAATAATAAAGCAAAATAAAAATATAAGAATCTTAATAATATCAATAACAAAAAATAGGACAGATAAAAAGTAGGAAAGAATAAAAAAAAAAAAAAAAAAATAGTTGAAGAGAATTAAGCAGGGGCAATTGCATAGGAAATAGTTTATTGTGTATTTATTAAATGTTAGATAGTTTAATAACAATGCCACAATCTTTAAGAGCCATTTACACTATATCGGATGATGAAAATAAGGTATTTGATTGCGACTAGATGAACATTTATATATTTTTGTGTTTTACTTTTAGAGTTTTGTATTTTTTTTTTTATTTTTAGAGTTTTATATTTTTATTTTAATTTTATGAGTTTTATATTTTTATTTCTATTTTATGGGTTTTATAAATTTATTTATGAGTTTTATACTTTTATTTTATTAAAAATTCAGCCACAAAGAATGACTAGGGGGTGATAGCATAAATGATAGTTCATTGATTATCTTTATTGAGGAGAAACTTTTTTACATGGGTTATGAAGGCATTTCTATTTGTCATTTTGGATAATACTATTTTAGTTTCAACAGGAAGAGAGTTCCAACAGTGAATTGATTGATACTTGATTGATTTTATGCCATACTTATGTGTTAGTTTTAAAGGCTTAGAGAGACTACAATAAGATACAGACCTAAGATTATAACTATGAATATCATTTGTAAATTTAAAATAGCTAGTGAAGCAGCTGGGCATATTATTGTGGACAATGTCCCATACAAGTACACAGTTTGATAAGTAGATAAGTTCATCAAGCTTTAAAATTTTAGAAAGATTATATAGTGGGTCAGAACTAAAACTGTTAGGTTGAAAGTGAATTATTCTTAATGATTTATTTTGGAGATTTATAAGGTTTTTTTTATACATGGATGAAGTTTGTCCCCATATCTGACAACCATAGCGTAGATGGGAGTTAAAAATAGCATGCCAAATATTCACAAGGGTTTCATAATTCACAAAATGCCTTATTTTGGTAAGCATTCCATTTGCTCGACTTAGTTTGTTTGCTATGGATTTAATTTGTTGAATGAACAAGAGATTTTCATCTAACAATATGCCTAGATATTTTATTTTATCTACAATATTTAGTTTTTGACCACTAATTCTAAAATTAAGTTTTTTGATAATTTTTTTGCCTCGAGGTTTAAATAGGACTAATTCAGTTTTTTTGACATTCAGAGATATTTTGTTTGATCGTAACCATTGGACCAGTGATGCCAAGTCATAATTTAGGTACTTATTTAGTTTTTTTAAAGACTTATCTACAATTAGAAGGTTAGTGTCATCAGCAAAATGATACACTTTCGAGTACTTAATACAAGTATTTAAATCATTTATGTAGATAAGGAAAAGAAGGGGACCCAGAGTTGAACCCTGAGGAACCCCTATATACGTAAACTTAGTAGTGGATGAGATATTACCAATAGTAACACTTTGAGGACGACGATTTAGATATGACTTAAACCATTTCAGAGCAATTCCTCTTACACCATAATGATACAGCTTTGATAATAGGATTTCATGGTCGACAGTATCAAATGCTTTTTGCAAATCAACAAACACTCCACCAGCAAACTGTTTATGATCTAAAGCCTCACGTATGGTTTCAGTTATATCTATGAGTGCTTGGTTAGTGGAGTGTTTCTTTCGGAATCCAAATTGCAAACTATATAAGCTATCTGATAGATTTAAAAAACTTAGTAGCCTGTTATACATAAGCTTTTCAATTAGTTTACCTACATTTGAGAGTAAGGATATAGGCCGATAGTTACAAGGATCTTGTTTACAGCCGCTTTTAAAAATTGGAACAATTTCTGCAATTTTGAATAAGTCAGGAAATATCCCTGATTGGAAAGATTGATTTATTAAAATACTCAAGGGGAAACTCAATTCTTGAGATGCTAAGGTCATTATTTTTGAAGGAATGCTATTGGGTCCAGTGCTTTTTTTCGGATTCATGAGTGAGATATAGTCATTTATTTCTTGAGAAGTAACTGGGGATATAAAAAAAGAATCAGGATTTTGGTTTTTTAGATAGTGGCTGAAGTGAAATTTAGGAAGTATAATTTCTTTAGCAAGATTATTTGCAATTGATGAGAAGTAATCATTAAATGTGTTTGTAATTATTTCCTTGTTAGTTATAGTTTTATTATTGATATCCAAAACAGTTGCAAAAATATTAGGTACGAAGTTTATTGCTACTTATACAAAGTAGCAATAAACTTTGTTCCTAATATTTTTGCTAAGTCTTAGTTACAATTACTAAGTCTTAGTTACAATTGTTAACTTTTGTTATATTCTACCGTACTCTATATTATCGTATTCTCTTTCAAAGTTTATACATTATTTTAATTATTAAAGTTTCAATATATTTAGTCTTTTTTAGAAATGTAAAAATAACAAGGTAACTATTAGTTACTTTTCGACTGATAAGAGGTGCCTCTGATTCCAATCCAGTTTTTTCAGGATGCACTGGCGATGTCTCGGAACATTTATCCATTTCTTTATCATGCTACAAACAAGATTTACTTATGTTTTACTATAATATATTACAAGTATAAGTAATAATTTTTTTTATACTATACTTAAATTTGGTAGATTTAACATACTTCATTTAAACCATGTGGATTTGCCGCTTTATAGCTTTTTCAAAATAGTAAACAAACGCACACGAAAAAAAGAAAATCTGGCGCAATTACGATCAGTTAATTTCTTCTAACATGTGATAACTAAAAATCTGGACAAAGTTTTTAAAAACTATAAAAAAAAAAAAAAAAAAAAAGAAACAGTTTTATTTAGTTATATTTAAAAAGGAAAAAAAGACTCATTACGAAGATTTATTTAAAGGAGTGTACCCTTTTTTGGGATTGCATCCAGATGAAAATAAAAGTTTTATCATTTTCCAATGGAAAAAATAGTAAAACTACAGTATACAGGGCCGATGACACGGGTTTCGAAGTGAGGGCGGAGTGCACAATCGTTAATTATTGAAAAAAGTCTTCTATATCTAAAACTTTTTTTTTTTTTTTTACATTAGGTCCTTTAGAAAAATAGTGAAGAGGTACGTGCCCCCTGGCCCACGGTGTCGTTGGCCCTAGTCGAATATACTAAAAAGAAAGTAGAACAATATAATTATTATATTGAATTTATATTATATTATATTATATTATACTGAATTTCAATATAGGACCAAAATGAAAAGTTGGAAGTGGTCGCAAATCAAAAAAGGATGGTATTTCATAGTGTGGTCTTGTAAAATGATTCTATACATCACAACTGTACAAATGCAAAATTATCAATAAAAACACAATTATTTGTTATAGTAAAAAAACTAAAATATCTAAAGATCAATGGCGTAAAAAGCAGCTGTTCGTTCGAAATGCTATTAATTAGGTTTGATATTTCAGAAAAACTAATTGTTATTGACAATAAATAATACTTTAATGATTTGTTCATTACGATAGCTGTGATGGCCGAGTGGTTAAGGCGTTTGACTAGAAATCAAATGGGATCTTCCCGCGTAGGTTCAAATCCTACTCATAGCGTATATTTTGAATAAATATTTAGTTTATTATTTTGCCGTCTTTGATCGTGTTGATCAATTCAAGGGATCGAAATTAATAATGGACGTCTTAAAAAAAGAATATAGTCTATTTTCTCTTCTGAACAAGTGAGCCCTGGTTCAAGTCCTACCATTGGAAACTTTTTGAGCAGCCGTGGCGCAGTGGTTAGAGTTCTGGCTCAGAACCCAGAGGTCGTAGGTTTGATGCCAGCTCTAGCCCAACTACGACATTGGTACAGAACTGTTTGAGATAGCTAACTTCCAGATATGGAGCAAACTCCAAACATTTTATTTTTATCCTTACGTCAAATAATGAGGCTTTGCAAAAAATTGCGATGATTGGAGGCTGGGAACAAAAAAATTATTTTTAGTTCATCTTATTATTTGACATAAGTATAAACATACACATGTTTAGAGTTTGCTCCATGTCTAAAGTTAGTTATCTAAGCCTTCAAGAAATCCTGACAGTCACTGTTCTAAATGGAGCAAAAAATGATGTAAGGTTGAAAATAAAAGACAAATTCGAGCCAAAATTACTCGTTTGGATTGCATTCTCGACGAAAGTAATGTCTCAGTATTTCATTGCTCAATCGGGCCAACAGTCAATTAAAATGAGTATATTTCTAAATGTCTAGTCAAATTAAAGAAATTATTTTAAAAATATCATAAAAATGACAATATTATTTTCTGGCCTGATTTTGCTTGTCACATTATTCACGTAATGTACAAGATCTAAAATCAAAAAATATTGAATTTGTACCTAAAGTGCATAACCCTGCTAATGTGCCGGAATTACGACCGATTTTTAGTCTAAACCTAAAATATTGGTGTACAATAAAAATTGGAGAGCTGTATATCTAGATAAACTAAAAAACGGATCGAGTTTTCAATCAAGAAATTTGACATAAAATCGGCTAATTAAATTATTAAAAAACTAAAAAGATAAACAAAGTCTAATTATGGCGCGCAATTATAAAAAAAAATACGAAAGATAATATCTTTTATATAAATATCTATATTTATCTATATTATATAAATATCTATAATAAGATAATATATATTATATAAATAAAAAAAATTTGAAAATTGTATTGAAACAAGTTTTTAATAAACCAATGAAACTTAGAGAAGCTGCAGGTGTATTTGGTTTCTCTAAAAGTAAATTAGCATACTTGAATTACTTATATTATAATTACTTATATTATAATTACTACTCAATAAAAATAAAACTTTAAGAAACTTTTCTTCTTTTTTTAATTATATTTCCTAAACTGCCCGCCTCAATGCCGTTCAAAACTGCCCCCTCTTGTGGGGTTAGTTTTAACGACAAATAGTAGTCTCTTATTAAAGATAAAACAGTAACTTTGTATTTTATGACAAACAGTATTTACTTTATTTTAATTATTTATTTTAAGAGAAGCAGTAGCTTTGTATTTAAGACAAAAAAAATACATATAATTTATTTAAACGGATTTTGCTTTTTTTAAAAGAAGTAATTACTAAATTATCTTTTTAAAAAAATTTTAACTTTTTGTCAAGCAGTACAAAAGCTTTAGCATCTTTTTCAAAAAGTGTTTTAATGTACCCCCTTCACCAATAAATTAAAATTTTTATTATGATATATAACAAAAAAATTTTATATTTTATCTTCAACTACACCTATGTGTAATTTCCAGATTACATTTTCGTCTAGAAACACGCCTAAAAACTTTATTGATTGCTCTCTCTTTAATAATTGATTATCAATAAAAAGGTGCGGAAGTTCCAAGGGAATATCTGATTTATTATGTAATCGATGGAATAAAGTGTATTTTGTTTTAGTAATATTTAAAGATAACTTGTTTGATTTAAACCATTGTGTTAGTTTGTCTAGTTCTTTATTTACTGTTTGAAATAATATATTGATATCTTTATTGGAATAAAACAAGCTGGTTATTAAATCGATCTTGTTTAAAAAACATTTACTTTTCTTTTATTCATTGTTACTCAAGTTATGCGAACATGGCTTAGTGTAACACTAACGCGACGAAAATAAAAAAAGTTGCTTAGCAAACAAAAACAGGCTATATGGATAGTTTCAAACGTAGATTGTTTCTCACACACACAAAAACTATTTAATGAACTTAATATCCTAAATGTATATAAACTAAACCTCTATCATGTTCTACTTTTCATGTTCAAACTTGATAAAAATGTATTACCAATCTTATTTTATTCAATTTTTGATAAATTTATCATATACTATATACTGCTTCCTATTAGTCAAATAACTCTCAAACCAGGACAAGTTAGTATTTTTTATACCATAACTTTTGTGTTTCGAGAGAAGTATTTGATGATTGACTGTATCGAAAGCTTTACTTAGATCAATAAAAAGGCCTAGGACATACATGCCTTCATCAAACGATTTAAAAATGTCCTGAACAAGTTGAATGATTGCATGATTGGTGGAATGGCCAGATTTGAATCCAAACTGTTTATGGTAAAGAATATTGTATACATTTCAAAAAAAATTAAGCCTATTATACATAACTCGCTCTAGTATTTTAGAAAAACAATTAAGAATTGAGATTGGACGATAATTTGCAACTTCAGAAGGATCGCCTGATTTTAAAATTGGAATGATTTTTACGATTTTTAGGTTTTCCAGAAAAACACCATGTTTTAAAGATAAATTAAAAATATGTAATAATGGAATTGTGATGTATTTTATCGATTTAATAACGACATTACTACTTATAGCATCGAAACCTACGCTTTTATTGAGCTTTAACAAAGAGACTGCATCTAATAATTCTTTCTCCGTAAGTTTAGGATTAGACATAATGTTGTTTGAGGTAACGTAAGACTTAAAGTGTATTTGAGAAGTTGCTGTATTTGATGATAAAATAGATAAAATTGATGATAAAATAGATAAAATTGATGACCAATATTTACAAAAAACTGACTGAGTGTTTAAGCCACTAAGGGTTTATTTACAACGCAATTGTTATTAACTTGAAGATTATTCGGAAGTAAATTTCCGTATAAAAATTTTTTACCGATTACTTCCTTTATAATTTGCCATGTTTTTTTTGAATCATTTTTGTGTTTAATTAATTGTTCCGAATATTAATCCTTCTTTGAGCGTTTTAAAACTGATTCATAAAAAATTTGCTAACATTGGCATAAGTGCGAACTGGTATAAATGTGAAACAGTTGCATAAACTAGCATAAATACAAACTGACATAGGTGCGCCAAAAGTATTTGTTAACATAGGCATAAGTGAGAATTAACATAAGTGCGAACTGGCATAAGTAAGAGTTGGTATAAGTGCGCCAAATAAGTTTGCAAACAGTTCGCACTTAGGCGTGACGGTTTGGGGTTTGGTAGCAATCTTTTCTTTTATTATTCTTTGTTTTTTTTTTCTTTTTTTCTGTAAAAGTCGTATGCTATAAAGATAAGCAAAACGAGTAAGCAATTGCTGAAATTAACTATTTCTTTTTTTCTTTTCGGCACTTTTCATAAAATTCATTTGCAACACTATTCCTTATTTTTTTTGCGACATTAGGTCTTTTTAATATATTTGACACTATTCTGATGTTCTTTTTTGACACTATTTCTGTCAACCACTAATGCCTAAAGTTTCGTAAGTATATCATTATTCCCAAGAAAGATGGTGTGTGTGTGTGTGACATTCTCCCCCCCCCCCCCCATCAATGATTTTTTTGTTTCTTTAGTCGGCAAATTTGACCCTTTTTAACTAGTCAGTCGGCAAACGTAGACCCTTTCTACAAGTTAGTTTGTAAATTTAGACAGTCAGTCGGCAAATGTCGTTATGGCAGTCGGCAAATTTTAAAAAACGAGGAACTTTTTTTTTAGTCGGCAAAAGTTGTAATGGCACCCCCCACGTGACACCTAGTCGCGCCGGCCCTGATTATTCCATTCATGCTTGTAATACTCCATTCATTTAACTTAAAGTTTAAGAAAAGTTTGTTTCTGAGGCACACTTGCCTCAGAAACAAACAAACAAACAAAAAGGATCCCTAGTTCAAACCCCATCTCTGTGCAAGTTTTGCGACATCGGTTAGGAAGGAGGCGCGAACTTCCAATTAAATGCTCATACGTGGTGCTCTGTGATAAAACTGTAAGGACTTCTTGGGACACCTAAATAAA